TCAATCATTAATCATTAGAAATGACTAATTTTTGCCCAACACTGCTCTACGCACTCACGGCCAAAATTCAGCTTTTTTAATCTTTTACATTTGAATGGTCGTTATTTGGTTAAGGTGCTCCGAATGGACCACTCCAGATTCCCCCATACGGTAGCTAAAGAGATCATCAGGCTGGGGATATCTTGGGCTGCTGACTGGGGTAGACTGGCGGACAGGGTGGGAGTGGGTTTGTCCTTTTCGCAACCCGAGAGTAAGGCTCTCTCTCTTCAACTCCAGTCAATTATTAGTAGACTGAAAGATAGTTTTATGGTGAGCAACATAGAGAGAGTGCAGGCTTCCCGTCGATACCGTATATATAGGATGCTGGATCACGGAGTCAGATATGCCAGCTTGGTTGGGGACCAAAAGACAAATAAGAAAATTACAGACATACGTTGGATCCTGAAACTGAGGGGAGAATTGCTGAACCTACGACATAAGCCGTATGATCTCCTTACCCAACAGGAGTGTGAGTTATGTAATTTACGGGTGAAGGAAGACATATACCACTTTGTCGCGGAATGCCCCATTCTGTCCCCCTACCGTTTATCTCCGTTCGGCGAAAGAACCGTATCAATGGACAGATGCATCAGATTGCTCGACGGACCAGATTGGACAGACTTGGTGAATTATGCTAAAGCGGCCTGGGCCTATCGAAAGCTAATAGTAAACGAATTTAATTAGTAATTCTTCTCTCTTCTTCTCTTTTACTCCCAATTTCTTTGCCCCCGCTCTTACCCTTGATATTTGGTGTTTCTGTTTCTCCGGTCTCAGCTCCGCTCATTGATTTTTAATTTTCAGTTTTGTGTCCTTTTGATTTGGTATTTTGTTATAGATGTTACACTTAGCATAGACTTAGTTTAATGCATTTGTACGTTTAATTTACAGGATTAGTCAATAATTAATCCAAGCCCCGGCAGACGGTTACCTTGCCGTATTAAGTTTATTTTCTTGTTTGAATTATATGTAATTTTTCTTTTTTCTTCTTGTGTGCAATAAACTTATTATTATTATTTTACATTTGGGAGAGTTTCTAAATACCATAGCTTTTGTTTTCGTTACATTTACCACAAAAACATTAAGGGTGCAATACTCAGCTAGAATATCCAGGGTAGTTGCGCTTCAGTAGCCGAATCGGCGAATAGTACGATATCGTCGGCAAAAAGTAAACATGTAATGTAAATTCTATTATCTAGTCTTACTCCACTGATGCCACGGATTTTAAAGAATTGAAGGAAATCAGATAGGAACATTGAAAACAACAGTGGAGACAACGAGACACCCTGTAAAACCCCCCTCGTCACGGAAACTTTCTCGATCATCAATTCGCCATTTAGCTTTAACATAAAATTTACCCCATTGTACAAGTTCCTTATTATTCTTATGGTTTTAGTGCCTACTCCTATCATGCGTAGTTTTTCCCAGATAAATTTCTTCTACTATAAGGACTCTACACAATTTGAGAAGGAAGTCATAAGACGCAGGATGGTATGACCCGAAACGTTTTCTCCCTTTCCAAAAATTTTCCAAAGGCATGAAATAATAATAATTAGAAGTAGCGTCAGTTAAAGTGTACGTACCGTTGCCTTACTGATGTTTTAGAAGGCATCGTCTACGAACTGTCTTTGTCTTGTTTTGTTTTTATATAACTCTTCTAAATCAAAAATTTGACTTAATTATGTTACCAAGGATTTCTCCGAACTGGCTCTATTACCAGTCCATACGGGTTTGATAAATTCATATGATGAATATATGATATACGGTGAACTGATATGTGAATTCTATTTTTGTTGTGTAATGGCAGCTTGTGGCGGCGGTCTTGTCAGTTTATACTTGAATAAACAATATGAGCGTTGGAGTTTTCCCATGAATTTTTGAATTTGATAGGTTTAACGTTATCGAAATGAATTTCCCTTTTTTGCGTTGGCATGCACAGCACATTTTTACAAGAAAGCGGTTTTTACAATTCTTTTTTAATTGTGTTGGTTAATTATAAGGCGTGTTTCAGAGATATCCTGTGTGCTTAAAATATAAAGTAATGCTGTTAGGAGTACTTTGTACATTAGCGGAATCACCATACATCAAAAGAGGAGCCATCCAATTTAAACCCCGCCCCCTCAAACCGTTAAAAAAACGGGTGGCTCCATGTAAAAACTTGATATCGATTTATGCCCGTTTCCGCCTTGCCAAGTGTGAATGGTTTTCGCCCTTTCCCCATTAAACTTGTTGACGTAAACCGAATTGATATTTGCTTCCGGAATCTGCTCAATGGAAATTTTTTATAAAAATATTAACATTATTGGTTCTTATTCAGAAATCGTGAGATGCCATTACTCTGGCACAATTACACAGAAGACAAGCACTTTGAGTGAGTAGAAATACTTTGAATATAAAAAAAATATATTTTGCATTGCATAAATTCACGTTTTCACATCCTACATGTATTTGTTAAATGTAAACAATGTTTGTAAATCCCAGGCCCTGAAGATGATCTCAATAAAGATCGAAACGTTGGCACGATAAAAAAATGTTTTTCTGAAACCTTCATCACACCAGACCGCATCTCACGATTTCTGAATAATTATCGATTAACTACATGTTATTAGTTCTTGTGAGGTTCGTTTGACGAGGTCTACTGGGTGATAAACGTGTATTTTAGTCGTTTCCAAAACTACTGGTTCTGTCAACAAATCGCTGAATCGGTCATACATGAGCGCAGTTATTTTGCCGTTTTGATAGATTTCTAGCCTAGACGATTTTACAGAAGCTTACTTTCAAAGTTCTTTGGATTAATTATTATAAATGAAGTAGATTCTCATGAACAAAATCAAAATATAAATACGAATAGTATACAAATGATATATAATTTTATTATTACGCGCAAAAACATTTCATATTTTATAACCTAATAACATAACTTTAAACCTACTTTTGACCAAAAACACAGAGTTTCTGAACAGTTAATAATTGAGAAGTAGAGAGACAGATAGTCAGAAAGAACGAGAGAGAGAGAGAGAAAGAGAGAGCAAGATTAATATTTCATTGATGAAAGAGAGAGAGAGAGAGAGTGAGAGAGAGAGAGTGAGAGCGCAAGTAATCCTGTGAAAAATCAAGAAAGAAAGACAAATACGAAGAAGTAGAGAAATAAAGAGTAGGGAATAATATGAGTAGGGTTAGAGAGAGGAAGACAACGAGAGAAACAAGAATAGAGACATAGATAAAGAAAAAGTCATCTAAAAGATAGATAACCTAAAAAAGATCAAAAAGTAGAATAAGAGAAAGAGAAAGAGGGGGTAAGTTATCAAGTGAAAAATAAAAAATCGAAGACAAATACTAAGAAGTAGAGAAATAAACTGTAGGGAATAATATGAATATGGTTATAGAGAGAAGGAGAAAGAAAGATACAAGAATAGAGACATGTAGATAAACAAAAAGTCTTCTAAAAGATAGATAACCAATGAATAAGTGACAAATAGAGAAATATTAAGAAAAAATAACAAAAAGAGAAGAACCTAAAAAAGATCAAAAAGTAGAATAAGAGAAAGAGAGAGGGGGGCAAGTTATCAAGTGAAAAATCAAGAAACAAGGACAAATACGAAGAAGTAGAAAAATAAAGAGTGGGGAATAATATGAATAGGGTTAAAGAGAGAAGGACAATGAGAGAAACAAGAATAGAGACATATAGATAACGAAAAAGTCATCTAAAAGATAGATAATCAGTGAATAAGTGGCAAATAGAGAAATATTAAGAAAAGATTAAAAAAAGAGAAGAACCTAAAAAAGATTAAAAAGTAGAATAAGAAAAAGAGTGAGAGAGGAGGCAAGTTATCAAGTGAAAAATAAAAAGACAAAGACAAATACTAAGAAGTAGAGAAATAAACGGTAGGGAATAATATGAATAGGGTTATAGAGAGAGGGAGAACGAAAGAAACAAGAATAGAGACATGTAGATAAAGAAAAAGTCTTCTAAAAGATAGATAACCAATGAATAAGTGACAAATAGAGAAATATTAAGAAAAAAGAGAAGAACCTAAAAAAGAACAAAAAATATAATAAGAGAAAGAAAGAGAGAAAAAGAGATAGAGGGGGGCAAGTTATCGAATGAAAAATAATGAATCAAAGACAAATACTAAAAAAGTGGAGAAATAAAGAGTAGGGTTGGAGAAAGAAGGACAACGAGAGAAACAAGAGACAAATAGAGAAATATTAAAAAAAATAATAACCTAAAAAAAGAACAAAATTACAATAAGAGAGATAGGAATTAATTCAATTGAATATTTTTATTTATAAAAAAGTAGCAAAATTAGGCCTCATGGATTTTTCTTACATTTAACGAACATTGGTAAATACAAATAAAGTTTACATAATTCAAAATGTAAAACAATATGTTAATTACAAATATATTTTATACATAAAATTTTAAATATTATTGATGTTGTACAGAGTTTGATTGAACATAATCTAATTAGAGAAAATAGAGAGAGAAAGATATAGTGAGGGAGAGACTATTCACCCCGCAACACATACCAATAAATCACACAGAATATAAATCGATTAAAGATAGAAAATATATATACAGATATGTAATAGCTAAATAGAGTAAAAATTAGAAAGATTGATAGTGAGGATGAAAGAAAGATCTTGGGAGAAATAGAAAAGATAATATGAAAGAGTGTAAGAGAAAGAAGGGTAAGGTGATCATTCCATCATTGATTTTTCGATCCAGGTAGAGAGTGAATGAATGATAAATGGAAAAATGAAGAGGGATAGGGAAATAAGAGCTTGAGAAAAATAAAGAGGAAAATAAAAAATTGAGAGGGTGTACGAGATATAGAAAAAATGAGAATGGTTAACGATAAGATATTTCATGTATGACTTTGACCAGAAGGCAGAATTAAAAATCAATATTTAGATGTTAATTTTTTGTTAATTGTATAAATTGTAATGTTTAATTGTTTCAGGCCGGTGGTCGGGTGCGGTGCCAAGGTGCGAGGCGATCCTGTGTCCGAGGCTGATTCCGGAAGACCCTCGGCTCATCCTCTCCCCGCACAACACGACTTACGGCTCACGGGTTCTCTTCTCCTGCCCGTGGGGTTACAGGCTGGCCGGCTCCCCTGGGATCGAGTGCCTGATCGATTCTCTCTGGTCGGCACCCCTACCGAATTGCCAAGGTACGCCCTCGACTTAAAAAGTCCAGTGTATGATCAATCCACATATGTACTATTCACGAGTTGGTTTTAACGATGGAGTTGATTATTATCAATTTATTTTTTTATTTTTTTTTTTTTTTTGGTCTTTATTCAACTGATTAAATGTTCTCTAATAGATCAGTTTTCTGTTGTGAACTCAATATCTCAATCAAACCGAACTCCTTAAAAAAATCCTTTGTAACGAATTGCTTACACATCAACCTACTTAAAAAAAGCTTTCCAAAGTCTTATATTTAACTTTAGTAAAAGAATGCACAAATTCGTGCTCTTAGGTGTTTCAATAAGGTAAAATCGGTCAATATCCCAGGTGCCGAACAGACAATGAAACATTTTTTGCGTAATAAAACAAAAAGAAAGTTGAATCATAAGCTGATCAAATAAAGTTGGTGGTGATTAATGGGCTATGAGCCGGTGAACGCGTGTTGAACTGAACGACACCACTTCACGAAGTCCGTTTATTCGCGCTGGTTCAAGTTTCACACCAACCGCTTCACGGCATCTTCAGTGAGGAGCTGAACCAAGCACATATTGATTACTTAATAATCTACTTCATAGTCATCATAAAATAAAAAAAAAATTATATCAGGGTCTTTAAGTTAACCGTAACTATTGTTCTAAATTTTGCCCCTGAAAAATGTATACGAGCTATTCGTTATACATTTAACTTGAATAGACAAACCTAGCAAAAAATCACGTACTACATTTGGATAGTATGGCGAATAAAATATTATCCTACAATTAGGCTATAGCTGATATTCTGATTCTATCACAAATAATGGAAGAGAGAGAAAAGCAATTGAAGAAGTTAAAAACTAAAAAGAGAGATAGAACAAGTGAATGGCTAAAAAATAGAAAGTGAAAGAGAGAAAAAGAGATGTAAGTGAATAAGAAAAAAAAATAGAAAGAATAGAGGGAGAGAGAAACAAAAGGAAGAGTGATCTAGAAACAAGTAGTAAAAGAAATAGTGTAGAAAAAAATAAAAAGTGTTAGAGGGCAAATAGAAGAAAGAGAGAAGCAAGAATACAGACAGATAGATAACTAGAAAAACAAATAAAGGGAGAGAGTTAGTGATTGAGTAATAATCTATTGAAGAATAGTGAATAAATAAAGATAAAGAAAAAATAAAAGAGAAAGAAGGACTACCGTAGATTAGAATAGAATAGAGTAGAAAGAGAGAAAAGTGAATAAGTAAAAGAATAGAAAGAGAGAAAAATACAATTAAAAGTGATACAGAAAAAGAAAGAGAAAGGAATAATGTAGAAGGATATAAAAAGGTATAGAGGAAAAATTTAAAACAGAGATAAATATGAATATAGTCAGATAGATAAATATGAAGACAAATAAAAATGGAAAGAGAGAGAGAGAGAGAGAGAGAGAGAGAGAGAGAGAGAGAGAGAGCTGGCGATTAAGAAAAAATCTAGTGAAGAAAAAAGAATAATTAAGATAAAGAAAAAATAAGAGAAAAATAAAGACTAGAGTAGGTTAGAGTACAGTAGAGAAGAAAGAAAGAGAGAGAGCTGGCGAATAAGAAAATATCCAGTGAAGAAAAAAAAATTAAGATAAAGAAAAAATCAGACAGAAAGAAAGACTAGAGTAGGTTAGAGTACAGTAGAGAGGAAAGAGAGAGAGAGAGATGAGAGAGAGAAATAAAATGAAGAGTGATACAGAAAAGAACGAAATAGTAGTGCAGGATATAAAAAGGGTTAGAAAAGTTAGGAAAAGGAGAGAGAGCTAGTGATTAAGTAAAAGTTTAGTGAAAATTAGAGATAACGAACAAAATAAAAGAGAAAGAAAGACTCGAGTAGAGTAGAGAAGGAAGAGAGAGAGAAAAGTGGATAAGTTCAAAAATAGAAATATTAGAGAGAGAAAAAACAAAAAAGAAATGTTGTAGAAGGATATGCAAAAGGGTACGGGGAAAATAGAAGAAACAGAGAAATAGAAATACAGGCAGATAGATAAATATAATAAATTAATAATAAAGGGAGGGACCTAGTGACTAAATAAAAATCTAGTGAAGAATAGATAAACAAATCGAGGTAAAGAAAAAATAAAGGAGAAAGAAATATTAGAGTTGAGATAGAGTGTGTACCACTAACGCTAGCTTTTTCTTCTTTTTTTGTTTTTATCCCATTCGGTCAAAATCTAACTTTCTCGTAAATTTATGAAATTCAGTCAGGACATTTTGTAATATTATATTTTTTGTATCTGGCTAGACGTTTTCTTGCGCCATGACGCTTCTCATTATCCTGCTCCTAATTCTTCATTAATTTCGCATGAAAATAGTTTGCCCTTTCAGACTTTGCAAGTAGGCTTTCTTTCCGTGACCACTAACCATTTTCTTTGTAAATGGAAAATTCTGGAAATGCTTTCGTTTTCGTTTTTCTCCAATTCTTCATCCCATAGCTTTTTTCCGCTTCTTTCGTTTTCTATGTGCAGCATGAGTGTGGTAGGAGGAAGACAGTAAGACAAGGAAGGAAGGTGACAGCAAGAGTAAAAATAGATATCGAGAGAGAAGGCAAGTCTGAGGTAAAAAAAATAAAAATAATAGTATAAAAGAAAATTGAAAGAGATGAGAATACCTTTCTTCATTCACTCACTATTTTAAATAATATATTCATTATATCAATGTTATAATGTGACTATCATTGTTATCTGTGCAACCAAAAAAAGGATTTTTTTCATTAAATTATTTTGACAGTAGAATTCCGATTAATTTTTTTTAGATCTTTTTATTTGATCACAACGTAATAAGATCCACTGAATAATCTAATTGTTAAATATCGTTCAATCAGATATAACACGAAGTAGGTGCAGATGAGACAAAGCCCCTCGCTTCCTCGGTCCCGCTTCGTTTATGAATATTGGAAACGACCGTGAAGATAAATGGGTTGGCAAGCGCAGAAATTTGGTAGGAGATCAAAGTGAGACCGTTACACAGGCATTGTTACAGGTATACATCAAGCTTTCAATACCCTCGTAACAACCTAACGCTTTGATTCAGGATATTGAATAGTAGGCTCCATGACCCTTTCTGCTGAGTGTTCCAAAGGAGCATAAATTTTCAAGAACTGTTGCAAACTTCAACAGGTATTAAAGCGTCTAGTTGCAGACTCGGAATAATTTTATCCTATTTAACCATCGCTAATAATCAAATATTGATCGGTTTATTTATTTCCATCCTGTAGTTTTTTTTTTAAATTGATTTATAACCGAAAAATCTTATTTTTGTAAAATCACATGATTTTTCAACTTTTAATGCCGTCATTACGTTACGTCATAGCTTGTTGTCAAACCTGTCACACCACGTCATATCTGTTGTCGTCTCAGGCACAAGGACCCATTAAATCTGACGTCTTCCCCCTTCGTTCCTATATCGTCTTGTCCCCGAAAATCTTCACGCAGTCAATGTCATGTATGACGACCCGCATTTTTTCTTCAACCTTCACAACTCTTCACAACATTGATCATCTGGTCCGTTTTTGTGTACCGTATCGCGTAGCATGTTCGACACACATTAGTTATGTTTTTTTAGACCTCAGACATAGCCAGTAATCATGGTTTAAACATTAAAATTTTCCCACTTTTTTTTCATGTTTTCAACATGAGGGTTTTGATGTTCTAGATATTAGAATATTTTTTATAGGTAAGGGATATAACAGGAAACAATTATATTTAAAAATGAAAATATTTGCAATTGAAAAATATATCGCAGTTTACACGTGCTTTAAGTTTGGCTACAAATCGAATAGATTATACGGCATTTGACAAATGGCAAAAAGGAGGGAAAATTCAAAAGGTGGGGTTGAGATGGGAAGTTATGTCCGTGTGGATCGAGGTCGCATAACTCAAGTGGTAGAACAGCGGCGTATTCAGCTTAAGGTTGTGGGTTCGAATCCCGGTCGAGGCAATGACTTTTTTATTTCACCCAATACCTTACATAAAGTTTAATTAATTATTGATTGTACTTACACCCTATTTATATTGATTATCTGTATAACCATGTATCGATGATTTATATGAATGTTCATTTTTTTCTAAACAATAAAATTTTCTCTCAATTAATAAATATCATAATTTACAATGCATGCAAAAAAATAAAACAACATCTAAATACACCATCCCATAGTGGAGATATAGCCAAACTTAAACAAGAAACAACTTTAGCAAAGATTTTTTTTTTTTAATTTATTTATTTGTAGCCTATACATACTTGTACGTAATACAAATGTGATCACAATGTATATTGTTCACCGCTCGGTCACAGCTCTAACACTGATGCCAGCGCTGCACCCGGAGGACGCATGCCATGAGAAGCCAGCCAGTGCTGGCACTGATTTTAATAGATTAAGGGGCAAGGAGTTCTCGGGGCCATCGTCGTTTTAGGCGACGTGGTGGATTCTCGGGATGGGAATATATGGAGAGGGCTCTAGCGGTAGGGTTAGGATGGATCGATAGGTTGGTATGAAATTTTTGGAATCGGAAATGGATCAGTTCGTGGACAAAAGGAACGTTGAGGTCTTTGTGGATAGTGAGGTTAGAGACGTAAAAAGGAGCTTTGACGATTTGTCTGAGGACTTTTGATTGGAAGGACTGGATACGCTGGATGTTGGATGGTTTGGCGGAACCCCACAGTTCCACACCGTATGTCCAAATTGGTCGCAGTAAAGTCTTGTATAAGGTCAGTTTAGTGCTGATGGTTAACCCGGATTTTGGTCCTAGTAGTCTGCGTAATTGTCCAAGTCTTCTGTTGAGTTGTTGTCTTTTAAGTCTTGTGTGGGGATTCCACGTCAGTCTGCTGTCAAGGTATAGTCCTAGGTATTTGACTTGAGTGGAAGTCGGTATCTCTTCATTGTTGATGTATAGTGGAGGGCAAGACTGTTTTTTCAAAGTGAACGTACATTGGATGCACTTTTCGTTTAATCACACGTTTAATCTTGTCCTCCACTTTTTGCACCAACCTT